GGGGGCGCGCCGGGGCGGCGCCCTGCCAGCCCATCGACATCCCCATGTGCCAGGGCATCGGCTACAACCTCACCCGCATGCCCAACTTCATGGGCCACGAGAACCAGCGCGAGGCCGCCCTCAAGCTGCACGAGTTCGCGCCGCTGGTGGAGTACGGCTGCCACGTCCACCTGCGCTTCTTCCTCTGCTCCCTCTACGCGCCCATGTGCACCGACCAGGTGAGCACCAGCATCCCCGCGTGCCGCCCCATGTGCGAGCAGGCCCGCCACAAGTGCGTCCCCATCATGGAGCAGTTCAACTTCGGCTGGCCCGAGTCGCTCGACTGCGGCAAGCTGCCCACCAAGAATGACCCCAACGCGCTCTGCATGGAGGCCCCGGAGAACGCCTCCGCCAGCGAGCCGCACAAGGGCCAGGGCATGCTGCCCGTGGCCCCTCGGCCCTGGCCGGCGGGCACTGCCGAGGGCCGGGGGCCCAACAGCCTGGGGGCCTGTGACAACCCTGAGAAGTTCCAGTACGTGGAGAAGAGCCTCTCCTGCGCACCCAAGTGCTCCCCCGGGGTGGACGTCTACTGGTCCCGGGAAGACAAAGACTTTGCCTTCATCTGGATGGCTGTGTGGTCAACCCTGTGCTTCGTCTCCACCGCCTTCACGGTGCTCACCTTCCTGCTTGACCCACATCGCTTCCAGTACCCTGAGAGGCCCATCATTTTCCTCTCCATGTGCTACAACGTGTATTCTGTGGCCTTCATCATCCGCTCGGTGGCAGGGGCCGAGAACATTGCCTGCGACCGGGAGAACGGGGAGCTCTATATCATCCAGGAGGGCCTGGAGAGCACGGGCTGCACCATCGTCTTCCTTATCCTCTACTACTTTGGCATGGCCAGCTCGCTCTGGTGGGTTATCCTGACCCTGACTTGGTTCCTAGCTGCTGGGAAGAAGTGGGGACATGAGGCTATTGAAGCCCACAGCAGCTACTTCCACATGGCTGCCTGGGGCATTCCAGCCATGAAAACCATAGTCATCCTCACCATGAGGAAGGTGGCAGGGGATGAGCTCACGGGGTTGTGCTATGTGGGGAGCATGGACGTCAGTGCCCTGACTGGCTTCGTCCTCATCCCGCTCTCCTGCTACCTGGTCATCGGCACCTCCTTCATCCTCACGGGCTTTGTTGCGCTCTTCCACATCCGGAAGATCATGAAGACGGGAGGCACCAATACAGAGAAGCTGGAGAAGCTGATGGTGAAGATCGGGGTCTTCTCCATTCTCTACACTGTCCCGGCCACCTGTGTGATTGTCTGCTACTTCTATGAGCGGCTGAACATGGATTACTGGAACCTCCGGGCCCTGGAGCGTGGCTGCGCGCCCCTGCCTGGCAGGCGCGCCACCAACTGCTCCTTGGAGGCCTCTGTGCCCACCGTGGCCGTCTTTATGCTAAAGATATTCATGTCCCTGGTGGTGGGTATCACCAGTGGAGTGTGGGTGTGGAGCTCCAAGACGCTGCAGACCTGGCAGAGCCTGTGCAACAGAAAGCTGGGCATGAGGACGAGGGGGAAGCCGTGCAGCGGGGTCAGCTGCAGCGGGGTGCACTGTCACTACAAAGCCCCGACGGTCATGCTGCATATGACCAAAACAGACCCTTATCTGGACAACCCAACACATGTCTAGAGAGCGGGGTCTGCCTCTCCCTGGGGACGACGCACCAGGAGAGCAAGTGTCACGGGTAAGGGACTAGGAGAGCGCGGCGGGAGCCTCCTGGCACTGCGGGCGCCCCCGGGCGCGGGGCGCGCTCCGGAGCGGGGCTGGCAGGGAGCGAGGGCTGCCGTGAGGCTCAGGGCAGGGGGGGAGCGGAGGGGGCGCGGGGGGGGGGGGGGA